TTGAGGTCCATAAGTCTTGAGTCATTTATGTGGAGAGGTATTTATGATTGTTCCATCAATTCTCTGTGAAATTCAGGAATCTGGTCACTGGCATATCCCTGTCTCGGAGGAAGGCTTGCTAGAGAAGGACCGAACCTGGCTATGCGTTACACGGCAGAATTTACAGGCACAGTGACTAATGAAGCTGGAGTTGTTCAGAACTTCGTGACATCCTTGCAAAGCCAAACATTAACTATTTTTTCCTGAACACTCAGGTCAGTATCTCATCCGCTCTCTCTTCATCAGTCTGAGAAACTTACTCTATTATAAGTACTCATTATGATTTCTAGATGGGCACTTGTTACTAAATTGCATATGTTGTAGATCTGTCGTATTCAGTTTTGAGTTGGTTCTACATTTTTTTAGTAAACCGATATAGCTGATAACATGATTCCCTGCTACCCCAAACAGGATCTCTGCTATTTTCGTTATTTTCCGCTCATCCCAGGATCAGGAAATAACCACAAAGCTGTCGAGATATTGTGACATAGTCACTTTGCTTCCATTGGTGAAATTTTTGCGTCCTTATGACATGCATGGAAAAAAGAACAGGCCTTCGGAACATCTAGTTACTATACATGATTGTATTCTTTTGCTGCCCCCTCCTCTTCATCTCGATATTCATTATGATATTATATGCTCTGATTGAAAGGAAAATGCATCGTTCAGTAATCATTTTGGAGTCTTATATTAAAAAAATTGCAAAACGGAATGTGTCCATACTGTCGCCCGCAAAGGTTTTCTACTAGTTGTTTGTCTTTCTGTGATGCGGTTTCATAACTGTAGACATTTTACTCTCTTACTTATTTTCTCTCGGCACACGTCAAATGACAAAAACGATAATGCGGTCTTTGGGAGAAATGGTCAGTGACGAGGCCTGAAGAGTCAGTCGAATCTGAGTGAGCTTTGTATTATTGGTTGTAAATGGACCGTTTTGCCTCTAGTAAGTTTAGAATATTCCAAGGATCTAGTTGGTGGGCAGGAGTAAAAAGGTCCATACAAATGAATAGTGCTGCTATAGATAATGTGTTTCTGTATACTATGATATGACATTTATTGATCATGAGTTGTCCCATCAGTTGCCCTTGTGTCTTCGTTAAAATCCATTTGCTGTTGCCAAAGTCAAGGACTTCGACAATAAGCTCGTTAGTCTCTTCAATAATAACAACATTCTTTGGTCAGAAAGAATTGCATCATATAGTGACACCCTTGTCTCAAGTGCATGTAGTTGTCTCGTCGTGTTTCTTTGAACACAATTTCGTTGTTTGAGCTTCCATTGACTTGGAATATTTGAAAATATCCAAGTCAACTATCAGTCATTGATAAAAAAAAGCAGTGGATGCAAAAAATCTTCAGATCAGACCTCTGGTTCAACACATGTGCTCATCAATGGCAAATACTTTTCTGGTGAGCTCATGTATTTTTATTAAGGACAAAAGATTGTATGTTCATAAACTTACACTGACCATTTCACATAAATACAGATCCGTTGGGTGACGAGAGGTTCTGAAGGTGATGAGAGGCCAAAGTCCAAGATACAGTGAGATGACAAGTTAATCCTCTTGCACTTACTCAGATAAAATGAATTTCAATCTATGTAGAAACTTCTTCATTGAAGCCAGATTTTTACAAATTCACCTTATTCCAAAATAGAGACCAAATAAATCTCGGAAGAAGATGGTTTGAAAAAAAGGAAAGTGAAGGTGCACGCAATTGTTATTTCACATGAGATAAAGGACGTCTATGATAATTTTCTTGTCTTCTCTCCACGGCTCTGTTAAACTTGCTATAATCCATCTTTTTCAACTTTGTTTTTTTAATATCGGAGTAATGTTTTTCTCTCACAACAAATCAGTAGGAATAATGTTTTGACTTGTTTTTCAATGAAATGAACGGAGCCTCTGTAGCAGGAAACTAGTACAAAGTGTGCTTTGACAGGACCTTGCTTGATTACTAGGCCACTGGCTTGCTTTTTTTTTTTTGACGCAACCACTGGCTTGCTTATCCCTCCGGCCTGGGGCAGCGATGCCAAAGCGCATCCTCGTTGCTGCGTTGGTGCTGCTCGCTGCTACTGTCACTCAGCCCCAGCAGTTAAGTACGATCCTCTGTCTCCCACCTTCCCTTTTTCAGAGACGTAACTCTAGCAGTATACAGTTTGCTGGAACCTGGAATCCTGGATTGATATATGTATACAAATACTCTTCTAGTACATTCTGTGCTCTGTGGTCAACTGAATTTTGTCTATGTTTTTTTTTTGTGTTTGATCTGTAAATATCTTTGATGTCTTCGAAGGTATGTGGCCATGTTTGGAAATTTGTTGCACATTTGGTTATTTATGGTAAACAGGAGGGAGGTGGGTGGGGGGGAGGTTTAGTGAACTTTGATCATGACAAAACAGAGGAAAGTAAGAGCTAATTTATTTTAGAAGATTATTGGCTATTGAATTATCGCTTAAGTCTGATATTGGCCATCAGACTCTGATGTTCCCTCTCTGTTGAAATATAATGTATTGAAGCATTCAAAATTTATCCCGAATTATAAGGTATTCTAGGTGAATTAACTCCCAAAACTACCAATCATATGCGTATACTGCCATTAATGTCTACCACCAGACTCAAAATACGGTAAGCACAAGATCTCTCTACAGTTAAGGGAGGTTTACATGCATTATTTGTTTTGCCCGATAAGCTATCCTAAATTGCAAGGATACCTTATACTATAAGATGGAGGGAGTAATAGATATCTTTGGCCATTGAAATATCAAAACAAAGACAATTTTAACCCGTGAAGACGCGTTTTCAAATTGGTTTTGCATAAGGTATTTTTTCCAAAAAATATGATTAAATCTCTAAATATTCATAACTAATTCATTTTAAATAAATAAATACTGAAATCAAGTAGCGTAAGTTTTCTAAAATACAATCTATCTATTGGTGCTCTATTTAGAGTTTTTAGGTCTTACTTATTCTTGTTGCTAGTTTTTATTCCTTGTAGTCATGTCATTATTTATTTAGGGATTTACTTTATGTTGATTTCTTGATGTTGGAGCATCTGCTTTATTTGAAACCTATTATGTAGTCAATTGATCAAAATAATGTAAAGCACTAGCTATGCAGTGCCTACATAGGAACCATATGTGGTGGAGCATGGCACATGAGAGGTTCAGCATCACCTTTGAGATCTTCCATATACTCATAATCCATTGGATTATTTTGAGGTCTAATAGAGCAAAATGATAAGTTAAATAAATAAAGGTCACTATTACAATTAGTAAAACACTAGCTACATGAACAAGTAAGATCAAAGAACTCTAAATAGGCATCAATATATAGATTATATTTCTTAAACAATTAGTATCAGTTTCATTTTTTTTGATTTATAATGAATTAGCTATTAATTTTTAAAGAGTTAATCATATTATTTAAAAAACATATATAGGCTAAACCACTTTCAAAACCAATCTTATGGCCAAAAGTTGTTTGGTCTTGATAGTTTGATGACCAAAAATATCCAATTTTAGAATTTGATTGACAAAATTGAACTTTGGTGAAGGTTCAATGGCCAAAAAAGTCATCTTCTTTATGTTATTATTTTCTATAATTTATTTGTATTACTATTTTTGAGTCATAAATACAGCAGGGGAAGCCCCACTGTTGGTATATAAATTCAAATAAAATAAACTGTACAGAGAGAAAGGAGATAGGGAAATGACTACAGTCTACAGGCTGTACAGCTGTACAGAAAGAGAGGAAAGAAGAGAACAGCAGGAGGGAGTCAGCCTTGGAGTCCTAAAGAGGACAGAAAGGTTGCTGCCAATAGCTTTGGCTGAATGGACAACCGAAGAAGAGATGAAAAGGTTGTTTCTTCCATGTTTCTATTGCAGAGCACACAGTTGTAGTTGTCCCCTTCTAATTTCTGCTTCTTTCTCTTAAGGATGCTCCTTGTGTTCAGTCTATCCATTAGAAGTAACCAAGTGAAGACTCTAAGTTTATTACAGCATTTGGAGTCCCATTTTGGTATGTAATAGGGGCCTTTGCATTTCCCACCTCATACTTACACGGTCGTGGGACCCTATCTGACTGGTGGGTTATGTTTGTTTATCCATGCCATAATTTTGTGATAATAAAACTTTGTCATTTTGTCTAATCGTAGTTTATGATGAAATTGTTTTGTCACAACACTTCGATGTAGTGTCTGACATGTTTCATGTTTAGCCTGAGTGATTTCATTTGTCACTAAAAATGTAGTATTGTGATCCTAACTTAATTCCTTTTTAGAAAAATGTCATAAATTAATGTCATCTTACTTGGTTGTTACAGAAGACCATATATTTGTTAAGAGTGCCTCCTAGGCTGCTGTCGGCCCGTCGTAGTCTTGGGTTTGGGTTGGCCCAAGTTTGGCTGATTCGGTTCACTATCAAATTCATGGTTGTGACCTATGTTTTTGCTGTTTTTGGTTAAGAGAAATAGTTAATACTCAATCCATCCAGAAATATAAGGTATTTAGAAAATTTAAAATAAGTTACAAGGTAAAGCACATGAATCGTGGGAAGATATTGTGCTTACTATATTTTGAACATGGCTTGCTGACAAATAGACATTAATGATAGATAGGTCAATCTCAGTTAGAGTTTCATATGAATTTAATAGATTGCTACATAAACATTTTTGATAATGTAACAACGTTTTTAATAAGAGTGAGAACATGCTCTTGGCTTGGTTTCCAACTCTAGATGAGCCATATAATTAAATGTCTATGAAATAAAAAACTATGAATTGAGAATGATTGTTTGATCCATGTTTTATTGCATTCTACATTCTTAGAAACAACGCTTACGAAAACTCTCCACTAAGAATGACCTTATAATTTATGATAAATTTTGAATGATTCAATACCTTATATTTCGGGATAAGAACTGTGTCTCACAGTTTTATAATTAAATATCTTGTTCCAGATGACTCATGACCATAGGACAGTCTTTAGTAAATGGGCAAACACTAGTTTCAGCGCAAAGTACTTTTGTGCTAGGCTTCTTCTCGAACGGGGACAGCTCGTATCTATGGATATGGTATAATTACTTGAAACCTCAAACTATTGTCTGGGTGGCTAACCGTGACACGCCAATCAAGGGAGGCAATGGAGTGTTTTCATCAGCACAAGCTCTCTTGACCTTCTGGATAGAAGAGGAAACAAAGTGTTGTCGGTGGTACACTCAACACCAACAACCCACAACAGCATTCCTTCTGGATTCTGGCAACCTTATCATCAACGACTCAGCGTCTGAGAATCCAAATCCACTTTGGCAAGGTTTTGATCAGCCCTGCGACACACTGTTGTCCAATATGAGGATTGGGTATGACATGTCCACTAATCACAACGTGAGACTCAGATCCTGGAAGAGCAATCTGGACCCGTCACCTGGGGACTACTATATTGAGCTCGATCCAAATAGACTGCCTGAGATGCTCTAGTTCCAGGGCACTCTTTTGATTTACAGGACTGGGCCATGGAACGGCCAGGGCTTCAGCGGTCTTCCCGCCCTGAAGATGACAAATGTGTTGGTGTACAACATGACTGTTGGTGAAGGCAGTGCGTATTACTCTTTCACTGCTTTGGACCGGTCGATCCAGTGGCACCTTGTCGCCAGCCCAGATGGTCATGCTCATCGCTGGCACAGCAACACAAGCAACGAGTGGGTCAGTACTGGCATTTGCCTCAGGATCAATGTGATGCCTATGCGTATTGTGGTCCAAACACCACGTGCTACAACTCTGATTGCCACTGCCTACAAGAACTTGTCCCCAATCAAGTCCGAGAGCGACTGGAACCAGAGGACATATGCAGGTGGCTGTGTGAGAGATGTGGTGCTGCCTTGCTCAAGGCCAATGGGTCATGGTTTCGCCCATCTGTCACATGTCAAGGTGCCTGACACGCTGAATGCCACCATGGTGATTGGCAAGGGATGGGACGACTGCAGGAAGTTGTGCTTGGGAAACTGCTCTTGCAGCGCTTGTACTGTTTTTTTGGAGATAGTGATTGTGTCACCTGGTCAGGCGATCTGGTAGATATTGTTCAGCTTACAGAAGGGATCAATGACTTGTACACTCGAATTTCTCATGATCCATCCCATTCCCATAGAGGTATTGGATTGTTTTAGCAACATACTTATACAACACAGAATGATTTATTTATTTTTACAATATTTTTCAGTTACATGGGCTCCATATGCTATGTTGTTACACACCCGTTCGTATCAAATGAAACATGCTAAAGCATTTGCCTCATAACTAATTAGTGATTGATTTTCCTCCTATATATAAACTTTACTTCTGTAAAAACGTTTTTCTTCCTTTTTCTTTTCACGAATCATCTTTAATTTCTGTGAAGACATCAGACATAAAGCATTTTCTCCTATATATATGTGTAGGTTCTCTGTGTGATGATTCAAAATCAGTTCATTTATTTTTGACTGTTTATGTACACTGTTTACTAAGTATCGATCATCTATTTGTTGTACAGATCGAAACATTGCTATCATTGTTTCTGTTTCTACCATTGGGATGGTGCTGGTGATTTCTGCATTGCTAGGTTTTTTGTTATCATCGAACACGACAAAAGCATTTGCCACTATCGAATGGTAACTACTCAATTCATTGCATGTTCTTCTCTACTAATCATTAGTTGAAAGCTCAATTTTGGTTCTGAAACTATCACCATATATAGTCCAACTTTCAACCTCAAACACCCAAATCGGATAACAATAATGGGTTGTGAATATGCATTTACCCTTTGAGCACATTCCAGAACAGTTCCGCACCACATCACTCTAGTCTTGCACTGCATCACCCAGCGACCTTGTTAATTTGTGCCATGTTACTCTAATTGTGACACTGTGCACAGCTAGGGATATGTGAGAAACATGAGTCATCTAAGGGTATATCAATGTTCACTGCTACATAGACATCTCGTTCGCACACGAATATATGTCACATGTGCTACTGGCAATGAGCCACATGTTGCAAGGGGAGTCCATGGGAGTGCTATATCTACAAGACACACTGATGAGAGATCTTGAGACCTGACTCCCCGCATGCCCAGGTTGGCCTAGCCATCCCTAAAACCTTATGTTTCGCTGTCGTAATGAAGTAGATACAAAAGAAGCAGCAGAAGAACTAGGGAAAGAGAAAATATAAAAGATGCAAAATAATGTAATAGATGTGTTTTTTCAATTGTGTGTTGTAAATCGGCCGTCACCCTCTCCAACTATTTACAAGGGAGGCATGCTGGCAACCGATATGTATTTCTTCATCGAGTATCCCATGCACGAAGCGCATCAAAGAGTCCTAAACAAGTCATATGCAGTCTAAAGATTTCCAAAAACTGAATAGATATAGAAAAATCATGTAAGTATAGAGTTCTTGAAATCACCAGATGATTCACTGCTGCCTCTTCTTCACGCCGCAGATCCTACAGTGGCCCTGCTACATAGTCACTTATGAAGGATGTTGTATGACATCTTTTTTAATAGTATCATGTCTGTTTTATTTATAATTTTTATTTAAAATGAAAAGTTCTATGTTTACTTTTAGGCAAAACATTTAATTGTGAAAATATTGACAAAACATTTAATTGTGAAAATATTATCTTCCATGGTTCTTATTTAGAGTCGGCTTTGATATTATTCGTGAGTCATGGAAGACAGGTATAAGTTATCTCCGGTTGTTATTTTTGTAACACCACTAAAAAAACCTTGTCCATGCCGGTTGTCAAATCTGGCGCTCCAAAGGTGGCATGGATAAGTTAGCGTATTGGTGCCAATGCAGAAGCTAGCACAGATGATGGAGTATTATTTATGCCAGTTATAGTTGAGTGTGGCCGTGCCGGTATGGATAGTTACATTTTCCGTGCAAGCCTTTGTGATGAACACTGATTTTGCGTGCTAGTATATGGATATCACAGTACCCCTATTGGTGCTATTTATGGGTTGGCTCCATTACTGTACCCAGGTCCAAATGAAATAAACACAGATTGGTACTGAAATTATCAATGATTGTTCAGAAAAAAATATTTTATTGATAGCTCATCAAGGGCCATAAGTGGACTGCTTTCTTACTATTTGTCATTCATCTTTTTTTTAGATAAATGTGCTAACATATTTCATTGATAAAATCTTGTGAAAGCAGAAGTGTTTGGAGCAGAACATGAGCATGCACCAGGGCCTTAAGCTTGCGGCTCCCCTTGAGAAGAATTTAGACCTGGATACTATTAGAGTCTCCACCAATAATTTTTCCAAACAAAATATTATTGCTTCTAACCGATCTAGAACTATCTACAAGGTATCTAATTTCCCTTTTGATTATGAGTCTACTTCATTCATAGGATGAATATTTGACCTGCACCTTTGACGCTGTGCAGGGAATACTACCAAATTTTTCGGATTTGGCAGTGAAAAGATTAAACATGGAAATAGGACTTGTGGAGCTGAATAATGAGGTGAAAATGCTGGCAAGGCTTGACCATCCAAACATCATAAGGATGCTGGGATCGTGCATAGGAAATAATGGGAACATGATATGCTATGAAAACATGCCTGTTGGTAGTCTTGATGCAGTTCTTTTCGGTATGCATTCCTTATATCATTATATGCGATTACAGATATTTGTATAAGAGAGATGCTGATCTTATTACCGGTCCTGAATCTGAGTCGTGCAGCTGAAGATGAGAAAAGTGGAGTCCCTGACTGACTGGTCTTCACGTTTCCACATCATGCAAGGGATTTGTGAAGGATTGTTATATCTGCATGAACATTGCAGAATCGTTCATCGTAATATAGACCCTAGTAATATTCTACTTAGCGAGGGCTTCATCCCGAAAATTTCAGGTTTTAGGCACGCAACTGTTCTCGATCTAGGCCTATCTGAAGGGAAGGCTGAGAACTTTAGGGTAACATCGTGAGTTCATTTTGTAGCTACTAAACTTTTGTGTTTGTCAACTCTTTGTTTTTCTAGTGACTTGTGATGAACAGAATCGACCACTAACAGTTTGCTTACAAATTAATGAATGTCACTCAGTGGATACCGCGCTCCTGAGTTGTTTTATGGCGAGTACTCTGTGAAGTCCGATGTCTACAGCTTTGGTGTAGTACTTTTGGAAATAGCAACAGGCGGCAAAGCTACATCATTTTGTAGAGAAGATACTGACGACTTCCCAAGATATGTAAGTTAAACGTCATTCCTCATACATCCAACTGTAATTGCAATAGAACTAAAAGAAGCTGCATGTAGCATAATCAGCAAAAGTGACATTGTCTAGGTTATGAATTTTGAAATAGTAATGTTTTTTGAAATGAATGAAATAGTAATGCTAAGTTTCAATTCTACATAATGGTGGTTATTTTCTCACTGTGAACCTTGGATATTTGTTATGTTTGGCAAAGGTTCGACAACATTGGACCCAGGGAACGGCTGATCAGTTGAAAGATCCAAGAATTGGTGACGCTCCTAAAGGAGAGTTTGAAAGATGCATTCATATAGCAGGTGTCCGTTGTGTTCAGGAAGATCCGGCCGTGAGGCCTACCATGTCATTCATCAGGAACACATTATCAGCAATCCGGCCTTAGTTGCGAACTTGCAATCGAAACACATTGTGATACTACTATATATATATATACTTATCTAGTATTGTCGTACTGTAGAAATCAAGCTACTTGAACTGGGATGCTGTTGTAATAGGTTATAGTTGCACTGACATCTTAACTCTTGTTTTAATCATTCTTGCTCTTTAACTGTGTTATTAAGTTATGCTTTGGATATGACACTATATAATACCAGCTTTCTAGTGAAATTCGTCCTGTTCGCTTGGCTTATAAGTCGTACTTTTTCAGCCAACAAACAGTATTTTTCTCTCACAACAAATCAGCCAACAATACTTCCAACCATAGCTTATCAGCCAAACGAACAGGGCAAATTATTTTCCAGCTAAACGCTGTATGCACGGTGTGGAAAGTATAGCATATCTGGAAGTCAAATCCACACGTTTTAAAGAATGTACAGTTTTTCATTATCCGTCATTGGATTTGGATCCTATCTCTATTTCTCTTTACACATTACTGGTTGAATGATCGATATTTAGAATAGTCATTATTGGAAAAGCAGGAATCAATTTAAGTATATGACATATGGGCTTACTGTAGACTTCCGACCTTTCCTTTCCATAATGGTATTTTCCACCGACATTATGATGGGTTGACCGAGAACATGTTAATACATGGGAAAGTAGGGCTATAGATGCATCATGGCCAATTGTGTGGCATGACACGAGGAGAAAATTGGATATTTGGGACCCCAAACGCTACGCTTCGCTGTTTTGCTATTTGTAACGTGGACTTCGCAAAAATATGCCTCTAAACATGTAACACTTGATTTTCTTGTTATTTTGTGTATTTTCTCTCTTTTCCTAGTATCTCTCCATGTATTTGACACATGGAAGGACGTTTTTACCCTCTGGTCTTTTGCACCTTACGTACCTACCGCTGAAAGAAACACCGTGGCCGCCGTGGCCTTCTGGTGTGGTGGGCAGGCACCGTGGCCTTGTCCTGTGCGTAGGCAGGCAGGGTCAGGGACCGTGGCGGGCGGTGCTAGCGTCCGATTGGGCGGACGGTAACCTCCGTCCGGTACCTTCCCGCCTTTGCGCAGGCTGGCCCCATCGCATGGGCCCATCTCACCCAGGTCACTCTCATCTCACGCAGCAGTGACTTTCAACTTAAAAAAAAAGTCATACCTCATAAACTAAACATTCAAATTAAATTTCGACACGAGCCGGGTTAGTTGGCATCGATCGACCGGTACGTAATGGAACCGCTTCTGCTTCTATGCCTGCATCCTCGCCGGATCGTGTGCAGCACCAGGATCCGGCCACCCGTAGCCGGATCTGGCCTCCTGCCGCTGGATCTGGGCCCCTCGTCGCTGGATCTGCAGCGCCGAAGCCAGATCCGCCGCTCCCTAGCACGAGCTCGCTGGATACGCCGCGCCGAAGCCAGATCCGCGCTGGAAAAGGGGGCCAGGCCCCGTGCACCCGCCGGGAGGCCACGCCCCAAAACCCCTGTGCCGCCGCCATTGGAGGAGGGGGCCTGGCTCCGAGCGCCGCCGACGCTGGAGGGAGGGGGCCCGCCTCGCTGTCGCCGCCGCCGAGGCCGTGCCCGCACCCATGCCTGAGAGAGGGAGGGAGGGCGTGGGGGAGGAGTGGCGCCGTCGCGGAGGAGGAGCGAGGCCAGGCCGCCGCGCCGTGAGGCCGCGTCGCCGGGCCGCCGCACCGCCACGCCACGAGGCCGCGCCGCAAGGCTAGGCCGTTTCTCCACCACCGGCCTGAGGGAGGGGGAGAGAAGAGAGGGAGGGAGAGAAAGCAACGCCAGAGGGAGAAGTGAGAGAGTGGGAGATGTGAGGCTTTTTTTGCTGGGCCTCCGGAAGATTAACCGAGATGGGCCTTATAAGTGGCCCACCTCGCCCGTCTCAGTTAATAGATTTTAGGAGGCGATCATTTTTAATCACCTCCGTAAATCGATTTTGCGAGGCGATTGATTATGACCGTCTCAGTTAATCCTAGGCATTAACCAAGGCGGTTGAAATTCTCGCCCGCCTCTGAGGTCCATTCCCAAACGCCTCACATAAGTTTTTCTCAGTAGTGGGCCCAAGCACACCCGGCGACTGATGATGCTTGGATGGTGATTGCGTGTTCTAGCATAGTGTGTTTGGATGACCTAAGACTAAAATTTAATCCACTTTTTAGTCAATGCCATAAAAATAATTTTAGGAGACAGCCTCTCCGATTAATGAGGAGGCACATCTAGAGATCTCATCCGTAAATGGTTAGGCGGCCTCCGGACAAATGCTCACCTCTCGAAAATTTATTATTAGAGATGGTCACTTGTAAAGTCTCCAAAATCAATAACAGAGATGGGCATCTTAGGAGGCACGTATCTAAAAATAGTTGCATCAAAAAATAATTCATAAATTTTTCATATGAAGTCGGTGAAGATAAAATTTATATTAAAATTGTAGATCTAGATGTAATCTATAACTTTGTAGTTGAGAAGTTGTTTTGTTTTAAATTGTTTAGAGTCCAAAAATATTGTTTTAAGTTCATGTATATTGAAATTTAAAATTTAAAATTTTCAAACAAACTTGGATATTGACATGGTCTAGATCAAAGTTGTAGTTCTTAATACAATCTACAATTTTGTAGTAGAAACATTTTTTATTTGAAGTCGTTTAGAGTCCTTAGGTGTTAGCGCAAATAAGATTACAAAATGTTAACACAAATAAATATATGGTGCAGTGGTAGAGAGGTGTCATTACTAAGAAGTAAGTCGTGGGTTCGAGTCCTGAAAATCACCTCTATAAATGGCGATTAACAATGTCCATTGGTTAGAGTTTAAATGACTAAAACTTACCGTACTTATCTAAATCCAATAAGGGAATGTCGTGGCAACTAACAATGACCATTGCTATTGGTTAGAGACAAACCCACCTCTAAAAATCCTTTTTTAATAGTGAGTCCAACCATTTGGATGATCTAAGACTAAACTTTAAATGACTAAAACTTACCCTACTTATCTAAACCCAATAAGGGAATGGCGTGGTGATTAACAATGACCATTGATTAGAGACGGCCCTGCCTCTAAAAATCTTTTCTTAGTAGTGAGCTCAACTATTTGAATGATCTAAGACTGAACTTTCTATGACTTAAACTTACCCTGTCTAAACCCAATAAGGGAATGACTTTTGAAGGGGGAATATATACTCTTTTTGGCGATCAGAATATAGACTCTTTCTCTACCCACACCCTATTGCGTGCTAATCTGTTTTTATGGTTACTTTGTCCTCCAAATGCTACGGCTACATTCTACAGCATAGGAGCTCAAGAGTTAGAGGCGGCTTATCCGCTTCTGGAAATCATTTTTTTTATAGTGAGTCCAACCATTTGGATGATTTAAGACTAAACTTTAAATGACTAAAACTTAATCCAATGATCTAATAGATCCTACTTATCTAAACCCAATAAAGGAATGGCTTTTGATGGGAGGGATATAGGCTCTTCCACTACCACACCCTATTAGCGTGCAAATATATCTATAATCTATAACTCTTATAAAACAAAACCCCACTACAATATTTTTCTCCAATTATGTGAAGCCATATCATCTCAAGGCCCCACCAAGTCAATATTTCTTACTTCCTCCAATCTCACGTAATATAGTGCATTCTAGCATTTAAATTTTATCCTCGGATATAATGCATTCTAAAGGACAAAAACTAGTTTTGCATTAAATAATTTCCATTTATCAACCAATCACCATTAATCATGTCGATGATAGCGTCTGATTAGGAAATAAAATAAGGGTACATACGTCTTTTATGTTCTCCCTTAATTTATGTTAAAATTCCTAGAATACACTATATTACAAGACAGAGGAGTAAAGCAAACCCCACTACAAGATCTATCTAATCCAACAAAGGATCACGTCATCCAATAATAAGATCCGCAGATCATCATCAATCGATTTCATCTTGCCATTCCCGATAATGATGAGTCGTACCCACAATTGGAACACCAAATTACCTCTTCATTCGCTTCTTTCCTCCACTCACGATGGAATTGGAAAACTGCCTTGCACTTCCACGGGCCAAGATCCAATCCTTTCAATGCACCGGATCATGAGTTTCAATTGGAGCAAACGAATGCACAATACCCTTTTCCTTCCTTCTTCCATGTATATATAAGCATATTTTCTCATTCAGGAGAGTGTTTCTAGCGGCTAGATAGATGCAGCTACTATAAGTGATTTTTGATTGGTAAGACTTCAGTTCAATCGCGCCTCACGCAATTTGAGTGCAGACATCCCTACAGCCTCCTTCCGTTCATGCACTACTACACTCACATTTTTCATAGACATGTCATAACCCACATCGCAGTCTAATTTTGACCTCAGCAGTAAGCTGTCGGCGGTGATACTCATAGCCACCGCCGTCGGTATCTGAGACCGACTAGGGTGTATACTACACCACCGTATTGGGTTATCATCCGTCCGTGATAAGGTCCTTACTTCCATCGCATTGGAAAATGACCCGCGTGTGTGGGTATGCACTAACACCGCCGCATGGCTTATGATCCGTCCATGATCAGATCCTTATTTCATCGCATTAGAGCATGACCCGCCTGTGTCGAGGCGAACATCACCGTCGCTTCAGCGTATGAACCGTCTGGTCATAGGGCATGGTCACCGTCGCGTTGTAGTACGATCCATCCGTGATGATCCTTTAGTCGGTGTCGGATTACTAAATGATTCGGCGGTGATGCACTATTAACCCTTGCCGCATCAGACGAATAGCGGTGGTGATGGCCGTCTGCTTCACCAAAGGCGAGTGGTACGGCGGTGATGACAAAATAACCAACAACCCTTACATCCGACGATGACAGAATTGCATTCGGTTTTCATAATGTATTTACTAATTCAGCTGAGCCTTAATAACTTACTAAATATACACCATACAGATATAATCATTACATATCATTCATCATATCCACAACGAAGAGTACTTATTATAATAACAATGCTCGACA